AAAGCAACTACGGCTTGCCATGCCGATAGACAGAAGACCCAGCGGACGGCCAAGAATAACCTGGTGTAAGTGTATTGAGTCTGCTCTAGACTCCGACTGTCTTCAGCTGAAACTCAGACTCTGCCATGGGAAGCATTGTCTCGCACATCTGCCTTTGTGACCCTAAAGGAAGAGCGCAAACTCAGCTGAGTAGAGCAATGGCCGCCAGCCACTGTTGCATTTTCAGCTGGTGTACGAGCGGCAACAAGAAGTAGGTCGACATTTATGCTAAAGTCGACTTAAGTCGCAAATAAATTTGATTAAGGCAGTGAGAAAATAACAGTATTTTTTAAGGTGCTCGTGATACTTTTAACAATAGTGGATGATCTTGATACGAAGTTCTCAAAGGAATCCATGCACTGATTTGCAATAAAATTTCACTAATTTTAATTATTTAAATAGTTCGATTTAACTTCAACTCCGCCGCTGCCGGAGAGCAAGCCCAGATGAAAAAGGAGGTTTTGAGACCGCGGCGAAGTCTGCAAAACTTAGCCACCTAATTCTGATTGTATTGACGTCATCGAAAATTATACCGGCTCGGTCGTCGTCCGGCTTACCAAGGGCCGCACAGGCTGTTGGGGGGACTGAAGCAGACGGTGAAAAATCGGCGATCAGAACCTGCTCGTCATCGACCTCTGCAGCCGGAGGTGTAGCAGTACAATAACGGCTGACGAAGATCAACCGGAACGACGACGAAGGTACCTGTCAGCAACGGAATCACTACCCGTCATGAATGGAGGAGGCATACAGCGCGATGCCATTATAGACGTCAAAACAGGCCCTAACGAGAACGACACTGCCAGCTTACAGTCGGAAATTGGAATATATCCGCACTCAGAGGGATAGAGCAAGAATTAGTTGATGAAGCCGCAGGGTACCAATTTTACAGAGTTGGACTCTCGTCATCGAAGCGCCAATGCTATGGAATTCTGGACCTCTGCGGGTGGAAGCTATTCCACTCAGGTAGCCATATCACGACGCTCGTTAAAGCCGGTGATGGTGCGCTGGCAGGAACTAACCTAACTCATAGAATCATTGAATGGAAGCCCGTCAGCGGAAAAGTGGTAGTTCTTCGACTGAAGTTACAACAGTCTAAAGCGCTGAATTTGTTCCGGGTCTATGCTCCCAATCTGAAGGGAGAATACGAGTCCTTCCTTGAAGAAGTGGAGAGTACTCTGTACGAACTACCGACTACAGAATCCTGTAACGGGCGATTTTAATGTGTATGTTGGAGTAGACAATGAAAAGTGGAAAGGCGTGATTCAAAAGAACAGCCCTAACGACCTCAAAAACAACGGCATGTAGTTGCTGCGGCTTTGTGCAAACAATGGACTATCCATTATGAATAACTTCTTCATCAAAGCTTGCGTCAGTATAGCTGGCACAGGCAAGCTTGAGCACAGAAGTCGATGCAAAATTTGATAATCGCATCGTTGGACATAACGATGGATGCTCGCGTTAAGAGAGACGCAAAGCTGTCAACCGATCACCACCTTGTTGTTGGCACGCTACGCTGTAAGAAATGGAGTACCATGCAAAGGTGGCAGAAGCGACCAGAGAATCAAACGGGAAACATCATCTTAGGCGCATAAGAGAGCGAAACATGCAAGTCACATCGTACGATGGTTTCAACAGACCCCGGTGATGATGATATGGAAACCGAGTGGAAGCTCCATAAGACAGGCGACTTAAGGCTGCCGCTGAATGCTGCAGATTCAAACAGGTTGGCCTGTTGTCAAGAGTCAGAATGGTGGCCACGAGAAGTACAACTGGCAGTAAATGAGAAGTTCGCATTCAAGAAATGACTTCGAAGCAAAGAGCCTTCTACTCGCATTTGATATGTCGAAGCACGCAAGGCGGCAGCGGTACCATTATCAAAAACCAAACCTAATTCCAGCGAGAAGTTAAGTGAGGTGTTGGAGTCCAATTTCCAAACGGCAAACAAGGCATTATGGCAAGCGATACGCCGGCTCTGAGGTGAAAAGAATGGAGTCTAAGAGTCTTAAAGGACAGGTCTGACACTCTCTTACTGAGGATAAGGACATTCCTCGGCGATGGAGAGAGTACTTTGAGGAACTCCTTAACCCGGAGCAGCCGCAGGAGAACTCGCTTGTAGAGCAGCAGGGTACGGATATTACTATCTCTGGAGATGAAATTACACAAGCTGTGAAAAGATTAAAAAGTGGAAAGGCTGTTGGAAGTGATGAAATCCGCCCTCGTGTATATCAAGCAGCAACGGGGAAAATACCAGCGGACTGAAAAACGGGGCTTCTTGCACCCTTGTTCAAGAACGGAAAC